AAAGAGTAACCTGAAATCAGCAGCAAGAGAGGAGCAGTGAGGGAATCAGAGGGCCAGGCAAAACTGGGCGGGTCAAGGGAAGGAAGGTCACCACCGGGACGGGAATGTCGTCTAAATAACCGTAATCGAATACCCAATTGGGGTTCTCCAGAGAACCCATGCGCGATGGAGTGCCGGAAATCAGAGTTCCCGGCAACAGGGCTCCCGGAGAGTGAGGCGAGAGATGGATTAACGTCCGTGTTAGGGAAAAAAAGATGAAGGAACGAATTAGGATGACTGGGAGAAGAATGAGATATAAAAGAAGCGTAAAAGGAGAGAATGAGAATATAAGGAGAAAGGGATGCGAGAGATATTGAGAGAGAAGGAATAGGCCAGCATCATTCCATTACCACCACCAAAAGCGATTGCCTTGTTGCCAAATACCAAAGCCACACGCACACGCTGCACCAATTCTCTCCTTCACCTTTCTGTCTTTTATAGCACCAAGTTCGATCTTTGGGTCCAATACATACCCCCGTCACTTCACCTGGTAGACTGTCCTCCTATACCTTGATTTTTTTTTTTTGACCCGCTCTCCTTTATATTGATTTAGACCATATAATAATAATATATGCATATCTATAACTCAAACTTTTTGGCGATGGTAAGATATAATAGTTTAATGAAAAGTGCAGTAAAACGAAAATTGAAACAAAAAAATACTACATGGTTATGGATTCTATTGTCTTTTCCAAATTCTAATACACACATTCTTCATTTATTTTATAAAATTAAATTAACTAGATTTTTCCTTACTTTAACTAGTTTTTTTCCTTACTAATAGTAGATCGTGCATACATGTATGGGCATTTTTTTAAATTTAACATGTATATAAAAAAATAATCAAGTAATAGGAGAAAAGATTTAGATTTTAAAACATGCATCGAAATAAAGTTTTTTCCCGCTAATTTGTAATTTTACATTAGATGAAGGCAAAGGGGTTAAAAATTCCTATTTAACAAATTATTATGTAATATGAATGCTAATTACATATGACGTATGCTCAATTATTAAATAGGAAGTTTTAACCAATTTTTTTTAAAAATAAATATATAAGGAATTTCATTATTTACAAATTGTACATCGTGTTGCTCATTATATTTGGAGGCCCACCTAGTCAGTATAGCAATTTGGGATCATTATTTTTAATTTATCTTCAATGATGTATTTATCTCTATTTCTTTCATTGCTTCATTTTTGTTATTTATTCATTCATGGAATTCCATGATTCATTCTTTTTATTCCACACTTCCCGAATAGGAGATTTTGACTTCATGTGGACGCGTCAAACTGTGAGCAATACAATCACTACACAACACGATCCAGCTTGGCATCAACGGATTGGCGGAGACCACATACAACTTATCAAAGTGGGCCACGGGCAGATAAGTAGCTGCCCGGACTGCCCGTCACTCCCGCATTATAACCCATCACTTACCCTCCAAATCGCTTTTCTAGAATCGATCGGAGGAAAATGGCTCAAGCTATGGCATCTTCTTCTATGTCTGGCCTGCGCAGTTACTCTCAACTTCAAGGTAGCCTCCAACTCTCTGGCTCCACGCGCCTCAGCCTGCCCGCCTTCTCCAGGTTGAGTTTGGGCCTGTCCCGTTCCGCTGGGCTCACTCTCAGAGCCCAGCAAGTTAAGCCCGACACCGAAACCAGCCGCCGGGCAATGCTTGGTCTTGTCGCCGCCGGCCTGGCCTCCGGCTCTTTCGCTCAAGCCGTCCTCGCCGATGCCAAGTCCATCAAAGTCGGCCCTCCTCCTCCCCCTTCCGGTGGATTGCGTGAGTCTTAGCTGCTCCCTTCCCTCCCACCCTAACCCTATCGATTGTGATTTTCAAATTGACTTCAATTTCTATTAATTAAGGAAGAGAATACGTGGAATTTGATTTGATTGGTGATAATTATGGAAAATGGCAGCTGGAACGCTGAACTCAGATCAGCCAAGGGACCTTAAGCTACCTCTGAAAGAAAGGTTCTACCTGCAACCTCTATCTCCGACCGAGGCGGCGCAGAGAGTGAAGGAATCAGCGAAGGATATAATAAACGTGAAGGAGCTGATCGACAAGAAGGCTTGGCCTTACGTGCAGAATGATTTGCGGCTGAAAGCAGAGTATCTTCGTTATGATCTTAACACCGTCATATCTGCTAAGCCTAAGGACCAGAAGAAATCCCTCAAGGAACTCAGTTCCAAACTCTTTCAGGACATCAGCAATGTAAGTCATATCTCTATCGCCAGTGACGATTTTGATATGTTCATATGTCTGCTTAATGGTTAATCATATGTAATTAGTGAATTAAGCGGCTGATTTTGTTGTGTGACATGTTTGTGCAGTTGGATCATGCTGCAAAAATTAAAAGCACACCACAAGCGGAGAAGTATTATGCGGATACTGTGTCTACTCTGAATGATGTTCTTTCGAAGCTGGGTTGAAGAAATTGAATGTTTTTGTTTTGTAATCTGTGTTTATCAGTTTATGTAACACGTTGGTTGTTTTTGAATGAACTTTGATTGAAGAGAATCAAAGGAGACGAAATTTGTTTCCTCACCAGTTTTGGCAAGGATGGCAAACACGTCTGTTACATAATTACATGGGAAGAGGAAATAAAAAATTGAGCAATTTTTTTGTATTTTTATTTACAAAATTATAAAAGTTATTAGATGATTATGAGAAGAACATACTAGTATGTAATTTAGGAAAATAAACTCATTGTTTTTCTATTTTTTTGGGTCCTTCTCCCCATTGAAGGGAGTCATTTCATTTGTCTCATCAATGCCGCTTGACAACAATGTTAATATAAATTAATAATTTGGTGAAATACCATTGTCTTTTATTTACATATTCAAAGATAAAATTAAACTGAATTTTGTGCATTCGTATAAGCCTTAAATGAGCAATAGTTATTGTTTCTTGGGAAGAGTATGATGTCTTACAAGTTTTATATGTATATTAAATTAAATTGTAAATTCAACATTTAAAAAACCTTTAAAAATTAATTTTTGGCCATAAATTAAATCCTAAATTAATAAAAAAATATAACTAAATCGATAATTTACTGAAAAATGAAAATGAAGCAACCACCAGGCAACCAGCTCTAGGCTCTGGCGCTGGTAAAAAAAAAAAAAGCTCTAGGCTCTGGCCTCAGCGCATGACACGTGTAGGGCGCGGGAACCACCGTTGGTTGTTGAGCTGGTGAGGTGGAGGACGCGGGGAATGTGATAAGCGATGACAGAACGACGACGTTTAAGCCGTTCTCTAGAAAGAACTCCATCCTTCTCTAGTTATCTCCTAAAATCAATCTTCTTGTCATGTCCATTTTTCAAAAGAAAACAAGGATCGGATATATAGTGTTAGTCGTAGATTATAAAAGAATGACCACACCGAGAAACAAAATTAGCTTCTGAAGAAAGAAAACCAATTCCAGGCGAATTTGAATTTGTTTTCAACTTACATTTCCTCTGCTTTACTAACTCGTGAAGCTCAGGCGGTCCTTCGAAATGTCAGCTTACCGATGGAAAAGCTTCGAGGAGAACGAGGATCGCCCCGAGAAGCCTCGTCGCTACGGTGTCACTGAGATGAGAGGTCCTCATTATTCGCTTTTAAATCAGAATGTTCTTCAGGTATATAATTTCGTTATGATTTTTTTTTTTTTGACGATCACGAAGATCTTTTTCGAGGATTGATTCTGGACATCAGGTAATGAATGTTGTTGCAGCTATATCGCTTGTTAGGTTTTGCACTTGTATCTGTTTTGACCTCAAAATAAGTGCTGAACTGAGGTTTTTTTCCCCTGCCTGTACTGTCTATCTTAAGATAGACAGGAAGCTTTTTCCTGCCTTTTTATTTTATTTTCATTGTTCCTGACGTTGAACATGCTGGAGGCATAACCATTGCAAACCTATTGGCTAATGTCAAAATATAGGGTGTGAACTGTATTCCGTAACTCACTACATATCTATAGTGGATTATAATTCTCATTAATTTTTGCACCGGGTTCATTGGCACTCTTTTGTCCTAATTTTGGAGCAATGAAAATATTCTGTTTCACAGGATATTTTTGAGTCTATGGGAGAATTTGTTGATGGATTGAAGTTTTCTGGAGGTTCTCACAGCCTGATCCCAAAGACCGTTATTAAAGAAATGATTGACATGGCCCATCAGCATGATGTTTATGTTAGTACAGGCAATTGGGCTGAACATATGGTTGGGAAAGGTCCATCAGCTTTTAAGGAATATATTGAGGTCTGAGCTGATTGCATAATTATTCTGTAATGAATTTTCTTTTCTGATTTATAAATCAGTGATTGACGTGGTTTCTTATTTATTATAGGAATGCAAGCAATTGGGTTTTGATACAATTGAACTAAATGTTGGCTCTTTAGGAGTTCCTGAAGAAACATTTTTGAGATTTGTTCGCATGGTTAAAGGTGATGGTCTGAAAGCTAAGCCCCATTTTGAAGTGAAGTTCAACAAGTCTGATATTCCCAAAGGTGGCGATAGGGCTTTTGGGGCTTATGTTCCCCCAGCACCTCGATCATCTGGTATGAAGCAACTTTTTATTCTCTTTTTATGTCCGTGTGCGCACAAATGGGTGGTATGCGTGTGTTCTATCTATCTCTCTTACATGACGGGAGTAGACATATTTAGGATTCTAACAGAATGTTTCTATTAGCGTTATTCTATTCATTAATGTGCGTTCATCTGGAAGCTATTAAAAATATCTTTTGGTGTTTGCACGCAAAGGAATGCATGCAAACGCCAAAGAAACTCACCCTAACAAGTTCCTGTCTTCAGAATTTTGATATAAAATATCATAGAGGCAATATGCCATGATTGCAGAATAAGTAAAAGTATCATCTCCTTGATATGGGACGTCTTATTGATAAGCATGTTCATAGTTTTAGGCACGTTATTCTAATAATGCAATTTTCAGGTGTGCAGTAATAAGTTTCACTAATCATGGAAATATGTCCCTCGATTTTAAGAGATCAAGTTCTGCAATTTAGAAGAATTAATTAAAATATCTAAGTTCATAATTTGTTGATGCTTTTGATATGAATTTAGATAAACTGGATAATCAGATGAATGAATAAAGATGGATGAATGGCTTATTAAGTATGCCTTCACCTCTTTTCTTCCAGATAGGTCAGGCTTGGAATATCTGTAGTACTAAAGAGGACAAGGCCAGGAAAAGGAATCCAATCTCACCTAGAAGTAAATAGAACTTATTAAAACTCGATTCAGATTCTACATTCACACAAATGTGCCCTCACAGGGACTACCGATTTCTGCAGTCTTAGCTGGTGGTTAACAAACTCTAATTAAACGCTAGGTGGGGCAGTGCTCATAATTTATTGAAACTTAAGAGGCGAAAACTTGACTTTCGATGGGAAATATTTGATGTCGTATCAACAAGGTGATTGTACTTTTTTCATTGATCTTAAATCTATTATAACAAAAGAAGCAAAGCGGTAGGACCAACTCCATTGGCATTGCTTTGTGTTTAAAATCGCAGAATTTGTAGAAGATGTGGATCTCTTGATCAGAAGGGCAGAGAGATGTTTAGAAGCAGGAGCAGACATGATAATGATCGATGCTGATGATATCTGCAAACATGCTGATTCTATGCGCGCGGACATCATTGCAAAGGTCATAGGGCGGCTTGGTATTGAGAAAATTATGTTTGAAGCATCAAATCAGAGAACATCTGAGTGGTTTATCAAGCGCTATGGTCCCAACGTAAATGCTGAGTGGTTTATCATACTTTCTCGTTTTCACTTAAGAAACAGATTATATCAGCTTCAGCTTTGCTAATATCATCCCTCTGATCTTCAGGTAAATCTCTTTGTGGATCACTCCCATGTGATGGATGTGGAATGCCTCCGAGGACGCAACTTGGGTAGGAATCATTCATCTGTTCTTGGGTCATCATATTTCCTGTTCTGAGGTGATTGGGTGGTATATGGATGTTGGGCCTTGTGTGACTTGTTGGTTTGGTTTATGTAACTCGTGCTGTAATAGTGATGTCTCTTAGGTGGCATGTTGTGCTAAACTGTGTGTGCTGTGCTCCTGCAAAACAAAGTATATTCCTTTATCTTTTCGTTTTCATTTTCCAAAATGCTTGATTGTGTGGTATTTGTAAATAAATGAGTAATGCGGTGGGGTTGAAACTAAAGACAATTTAGAATGCGGTTATCAATTATCATGAAGGGGCGTATTTAACAAATAAAATAATTAATAAATTTATATTATAAAATCAGTGTTATGCCACTCAAAGCCCGTTCGGATCCTCTCAGCGGCCGGTTTCTCCGCGTCTCTCGGAAGCCTTGAATCCTACCCGTCCAATCCATCCAAGCACCCATAGGGAGACACGTCATAAGGCTTTTAACATTGTATCTAAACCGTCCGTCTGGTTATATCCTGACCATCCATTCAATTCCATGTCCTGCCAAATCCCTACCACCTTCGATCGCGAACGCCTTCTGCCAGTCTGTCATCGAAGTTTCAACCCATCTGCGACGCAAATAAGGAGCTACGTTCATTAGCCACTGAGGCTTTCTTGCTGCACCAGTCGAATTTTAATGTGACGAAAAGTTTTGTTGGAACTATAACGCATTATATATATATGTATATATATATATATATATATATATGGCAGCTTGAAACTAAAATGTTGTATTCCCTCTCGCTTACACAGTCGAGAAGCATATCTCTTGTTATGAGCTGTTAAACAAAAAGAAAGGGAACTTCTTTACTATTATTAACAACTTAGTAATACTAAAACTATAATGAAGCCTTTTTTTTTTTTTCCCCATCTCCCATTCTCCCTTGGAAAAACATCAACTGATGTTTATATCCCTCGTTGGCTTTGTCGTCTTCAGATTTCTTATGGTCTTGAGTTTCTATCATGCTAGCAAGAGATGGCTCAATCACTTGTAAAGATCAGTTCGGGTCTTCATATTGCATTTTTATATGATATGAAGATGAACCAGATTGCCTTGCGTGAAGCTTTCTCGCCAAGTTCAGCTAGCAGAACGTCGAAGGTTTATTGTTTTAAAGGCATGAAATATAGGCAGCCAGGATCGGACGGTTCCTATTCGAGTTTCGACTTCTAAGGCTTTGTGTCTCCAAGTGAGTGCTCTAATGGATTGGATGGCTAGGATGTTAAGATTCTGAGAGACAAGGAGAAAATAGCTTCTGAGAAGATCTACTCCCACTCAAAGGGGCCAGTACCACTCGTGTTTCATAAATAATTCAGGAGAGAAGGCGTAATTTCAAGCTTGTCCAATTACCTCTGGCCCAGAGAAATAAACATTATTCAATGTAGCCCGTGCACAGATGGCAAATGCTCGAAACAAGTTATTTAGTTAAAATTCAGAGCTGTGATAACATTTTTTTTCCCGGAAAAAAACTTTTTTATTTCATTATTTTTTATGTTTATTGTGTGAGATTGTCACCATCCGAGCTTCCGTTTGATTCATGTAATTTTCTCTTCGGTCAATGTCAAAGAATAAGAAGAATACGATTTTCAAATATCAGATGCCAAAATCAATCTCAAAAGGTACAACTCTCCGACGCTGCTCGAAAACGAACCCAACAATGATAAATAGGCATTCTCAAGTCATTGAATAGCTTAGATTTTGGAAATTCCATGGCTGGTCAAAAGACTATCTTGCTATAGATGGAAATAACGTGCAAATAAAAGAACTGTGTAATTGAGAGGCAATGTCTTTCCTTGATCGTTCGCTTTCCTTTGAAACTGGAGATATTACGCATATTTCATCTCTCAAAGCTTTTAGAATATTCATTGAACTTTTGAGAGCAAAAGTAAAGCTGAGAAAGGAGGAGGAGGAGAAGTAGAAGATGCGGGACAATTTCTGGCTTTCTCTGAAGAGATCAATTCACTGCAAACCAAGCCCATCAGAAGTTCATGAACCAGAAGCGACCATCCCAAAAAGAATTCCTCAGAAGAATTCAAATTCAATGGATTGTTTCCAAAGAACAAGCAATATGCTTTGTGAGAAACCAAACAGTGGCAGCCTAATCAAATCCTTAAGGAGCAGTGACATCCTTAACCCTATAACCCATAAGGTTGTCCTTGACATGTCCCTCAATGGATTTCGGATTTGTCGATGTTGTCGAAGTCCTTCAAGTAAAGGAGCGAGAGGCCCTCATGAATCAGCAAGTCCAACAATTACACCTTCAAAGAAGACCCATCATGTTGATTGCAATGAATGTAACATATCCTCCTCAAACTCAAGGGTTTCGATGCAGACAGATTCTAATAATAATAATAATAATCTGGTTTGTCTCAAGTGTGGGGAGAAACTAAAATTTGTTGATGCTGTTGAAGCACACCATGTCTCCCAGCATTCAGGTATTGACCAATCTTTTTCCTGCTCGAATTATCATCTTCTGAGTTTGAGGCGTTTCTGCTTTCTTGAGACAATTGAGATTTTTCATTGACCCTGTGGAATTCTTCTCATGTAAACTTGGCCTATCACACGTTATTCCATTTTAGATTCTGCAGTAGGAAGTTATCGGTTTTCATGTCCTCCAATGTTGATCCAAAGTCTTCTGCTGCACTTGGTGATTCGCGAAAAATAAGATATGATTTAACGCACACAAATTTCGGATGACTTTTAAGTGAAGACAAATATAAAGAGAGAATAACTGGCTCTATTTTTGACACATGAATCTCACAAAAGCAAAATTCATTATTGTCTTTACTTAGTAAAAGTCATTTTAGGGCATTCTTTACGCAAAAACCTAATATTTTTAACCACCAAGGTATTGTTTAGTAGTGGAAGAAATGGATAATTAGTAATTACCCCACTGACAAAAGTTTTAGTATGATGGCCCGAATTTGATTCCTGCAGGAATCTACTGTACTATGACTTCAAAATGTACCTATTCTTTTTGCAGTGATTAAACTTGATGAAGAAGATTCAACAAGGCAGATAATAGAAACAATATGTAGAACAAACTGTACTAATTCCGAGACCAAGTCAGGGCAGATTGAATCTGTGCTCAAGGTTCAGAACAGCCCAAGAACGTTCGCTAGGTTTGATGAATACAGGGAAATGATAAAGAACGATGCTGAAAAGTCACACAAGAAGCAACCTCGTTGCCTTGTTGATGGCAATGAGCTTCTAAGGTTTCATGGCACAACCCTCATATGTTCACTGGGTACCGATAATGGCTCTTCTTCTTCTTCTGGTTTGTGCACTTCAGAACATTGTTGTGTGTGTCAGATTCTGAGACATGGCTCCTTCACCACCAAAGAGTTTCGTGGTTCATTTGGGGTCCTCACCAATTCAACCTGTGATAAGGCCTTTCAATCCATAGGGTCACTTGATTCTGATGAATCTGATATGGGATCATCTCAGAGGAAGTCGGTTATGGTGTGCAGAGTAATAGCTGGTAGGGTTTTGTATAGTTCTGTGGAAGAAATTGTAGAGGAGAATTCTGGGTTTGATTCTTTGGCAGACAAGAGGAATGGTGACTTAGAGGTTGAAGAGCTTTATGTGTTGGATCCTAGAGCTATACTTCCTTGTTTTGTGGTAATATACAAACCCTGAATGTTGAGTACTTGAGATAAAATTTCGGAAAACCTAATTATTTGCTACCTATATTTTACATTAACTTTTATTTTGATTCCAGGAAGAATGATGATACCTATATCCCAGAAAATAAATTTAATACTAATTTTTAGGCCCCAAAAATTTTTCTTACAAAATGAGTTATAAATATACGAGATTCTTATTTGTAAGTCAATTATCTAAGTCTCACATGTCAATTTTAAATAGTTGCAATTTGAACTCATCAACTTGTAATTGACTAATTCAATATTTGCAACCTAGCGCTGATGTTATTTCTTAGGTACATCCAGTATTCTAATTTTATTTATAGTGCATCCAATATCCTAATCTTATTTATATCGCATCTGACATCTAAAACCATAAATAAGATTGAAGTGTTAGATGTAACTAAAAAATAACATAAAGAAACTAACAGGGGTTGAGTCTAGTAAAAGGGACTAGTCTCCCACAACGTGGTGAATTAAGGTTTGAATCCCTGCTGGGAGAGGTGCCCACATTTAGTGCCCGACAGTGTCTCGAATGAGATTACTTCTAATAGGAGGATACCTATACTTTAGCAAAAAAAAAAAACATAAAAAGGTGCTAGATGCGCCAAGACAGTAACGCGATTAGGGTGCTTGATACATCATAAAAAATATTAGAATACTGGATACTGGATACATCTAAAAAATGACATCAGCGTGGTAGACGCTACTTTACCTTAATTAAATTGAACTTTTGAGATTTAAATGTCAATTCTTGCTTCTTCTTTTTTATTTGTTATTTTCAAATCATCCTTATACTTTTCAGTTATCAGACGTTTTAAAGTTAATACATATAATTTTAACATTTATACAATGTAAGAATAAACATTGACACAGCTCAACATTATAAGGGCAACTTGTTTCAAAAAAATTATGAAGAATAAATCAGAAATTCAGGCAAATAATAAAAGAACAAAATAATTCTTTTTTTTTTCCCCCCGGCAATACGCATGCCAAATCAGCCGGGCGTTAGTCGTTTTCTCACGTTGGAGCCGTCTCTCCTATTTGTTGCCAATGGGCTCCATTGGGATCTCATTTAAGTACAGGGGGACCGTTTGCGGTTGGTGGAGTTGCTTATTCATTCCTTTCGTTCTTTATTTCTTTGTTTGGCCAACCATATGTTTAGTCCTTGCTAAAATTTACAATTAGTTAACTCTGTTTTTATATGATCAATTAAGCATTCAACAAATAAAAAAATGAAAAGGCTTTTGATCTTTGGAGGGAGTTGGTGGCGCCACAGTTGATCAGGTGCTTACATTCTAGCTCTGAATTTACTCAATTCAACCAACGCCATATTAATTCTACAGTTATGAATCGTATGAAACGCCATATTAGTATTTAACTCGATCGTTTCGTCATCAGTCGCAGAGAGTAACCGAGCGAAATGGATCAAATCGGGAAGAACAAGAAGGCTTGCGTTGTGGGAGGAACTGGGTTCGTCGCTTCTGAGCTCGTTAAGCAGTTGCTCCTCAAGGGATATGCTGTTAATACAACTGCTCGAAATCCAGGTTCCTTTTGTCTTTCCTTGCTTTTTGCCCTAAATGTAATAACTCTGATCAGTTGATTGTAGCAGCAATCTTCAGTTTGACTCCGTTTTCAGAGTTGATTTGGTTTTGAATTTCAATTGGTTCGCTTGAGTTTTTGACTGGATTTAAAATTATTCTGTTTTCCAAGTGCATGTCTGATCACCAAAACCATGCTTGCATTATTGACGCAATGAGAAGATGAGTTCATATTTGTGGTTGTGTTTTTCGTTTTGTCTTGAAAAAAACTACCAGTGATTAGGCTTTTGACATTGGAGTATTAATTCAGATTTTGTCATGAACTGAAGTCCCAACTCCAATGTTTTGAGCAGATGATCGCAAAAAAATATCCCATCTCGTAGAACTGCAAAAATTGGGAGAATTGAACATATTTGGAGCAGATCTGACGGAAGAAGACAAATTTGATGCCCCTATAGCTGGCTGTGAACTCGTCTTCCATGTTGCTACTCCTGTGAACTTTGCTTCTGAAGATCCTGAGGTATATAATACAAAACTGAAAATCATACTTTAAATCTCTGTATGTTTATTTGTGCGTCTTTTATTTAATGCAAGCATTATTCTGCTAAACTCTGTACAGAATGACATGATCAAACCAGCAACCCAAGGCGTATTGAATGTCTTGAGAGCATGTGCACGAGCAAAAGCAGTTAAACGAGTGATCTTGACATCTTCAGCAGCCGCTGTCTCAGTAAATGCATTAGAAGGGACTGGTCTAGTTATGGACGAAAACAATTGGACTGACGTTGATTTTTTGAGCACTGCAAAACCACCTACTTGGGTAATAGTCCAATGAAAAATCTTTGTGTATATCTGGTTTACAATAGATAGATGGCCCTTATCAATCCTAAAATGATATGCACACATCTGTGGAAACTACTTTCAATATGTTTACATGTTACGTTTCTGTAGTCAATCTTCGTGTCTTGTATCGTGAAGCTTAACTGAGAACTTTGGATAGGTGATTCTTATCAAGAACATGTAGTTTGGATTTTATAGCCAAATCATTCAACACATAATTTTATGCAAACACAGGGATATCCTGTGTCCAAAGCACTAGCAGAGAAGGCTGCATGGAAATTTGCCGAAGAAAATCATATAGATCTCATCACTGTGGTACCTACGACGATCGGCGGTGCTTCTCTGACTCCAGAAATCCCAGGCAGTCTTGGTCTGACCATGTCCCTAATTACAGGTATAAACTGCCACACCCATCATCAGGTTAATTGTTCTATGTCAATTTCGTCTTCTCAAATACCAGAATGTCAAATAAGAGGATCCAAATCTGTTAAGCATTATGCTTAATTTATGTAGTGATTGGTGTTAAATTGCATTGCAGGCAATGATTTCCTCATAAATGCTTTGAAAGGCATGCAGCTGTTGTCAGGTTCAATATCTCTCACTCATGTGAAGGATGTTTGCCGAGCACACATATTTTTGGCCGAGAAAGAATCAGCTTCTGGTCGATACATTTGTTGTGCTCACAATACAAGTGTTCCTGAGCTTGCAAAGTTCCTTAACAAACGATATCCTCAGTACAAAATCCCAACCCAGTAAGCTTCTGATCCAAATACTGTAAATGACACTTTATCCTAAGATTCTTGCCTTTGGGATCTCATACAAAAGCCAAAGGAAAAAATGCTAGCATTCTTAAGTAATGATGTATCATGTTATAACTGCAGATTTGATGACTTCCCCCCGAAGGCCAAGTTGGTGATCTCTTCAGAGAAGCTTATCAAAGAAGGGTTCAGTTATCAGTTTGGGTTAGAACAGATCTACGACGAGACTGTGGAGTACTTCAAGTGTAAAGGAGCCCTTAAAATTTGAATTAGTAGAGGTTCAAAGCTCTAGCAGAAGCTCCACTAGTTATAATAATGTAATGATGGTAATAATCTGGACCGGCTGTTCACTACGATGTATACTGAACTGAACTAGTATTTTTATATAATGGGATGCTACTCTTCCACCTCGTCAAGTCCTCAATTGCACTTTGTGATTTGTTAAAAGGAGAGAGATTACTCACATGGCAAAGATGATAGTAAGGGTGTTCCGTCCTGTGCCCGTGACTCGTCTCCTCCTAACAGCATTTCAATACAAGATGGGATATAACAGTTTAGGCCTAAACTCAATATCTTTTCTCTTAGGCCTACACACAATATCTTTACACTGTTTTTGAATTGTTTGAGTCCTCGTGATTTCGGGAAAAAAACACTGGCATCAAAACATCGAATAATTTAAGATAAATTAGGCATTTTATTTTCCATTTAGAAAGTAATTTCATATACAAGAACATGTCAATAAAAAGAAGCTGATATTTGGATTACAAATCATAACAGATGGTAACAAACAATTCTATCAAAATATTTTCCCACTCGCAACTTACGAGAGACTTTTCCCTTCAGAACATCAAGCACACCAAGAAAAGGAAAGCCCAGAACATTTCAGAGTTCAGATTTTTCACTGGCGTTCTGCTGTTAATGGTGTCCTGTTGTTCATAATTACATCACTTATTATTATACTACTGTTTCTTAAATATAAAATCTATTTTGTAGTGTAATTTATGTTATAAAATGAATCTATACTACAAAACAAATCTTACATTTTAAATCAGAAGAGTATCATTGAATGTAAAATCTATTTTGTGGTAACATTTATATTATAAAATGAGTTTTGTTTTAAGGAGCATGATTTTTACTAGTCTTTTCCAACAAAAGGGAGAAAGAAAAAAAAAAAAAAAGGATTTCTCCGCTGTTGTATCCCAGCATCAACGCAACAAATGACCCCACTAGGCTTCAAAATCTGTTGAGGTGGCAAAATTTCATGAAGCGAATGATTCTCCTGTCTTGGGTGTGAAAAGGCTAGGATAAAGGTCAAAAAAAGGCTAGGATCAATATGCACTTCCATATAAAAAGGTATTCCCTCCTTGTCTTTTTATAGGAACCTGGTCTTTTTTCTCATAAGATGTCCGCTGGATTGTTCAGTGCATTAATATTTTTTCCACAAAGTTTTTTTTATTAATTATTCAGAAAAGTAGAATTAAATTAATTAGATAAAAATAAATTATCCAAAGGCAACTCTAAAATGAGAATACAAATTGTTGATGTCATCATTATCTAAATAAAATCCTTTAATTCTTATATTACCTCGTATATTTAATATAAGAACTATTTTGACTTTTAATTTAGTTCTAAATATAATATCCCAATCTTTTTTCTCTCTCATATTTATTTACTTTTTTTTAAAAAACTTTATAGTAGTTTCACATAGTAAATGTTTCCTTAAATGGTAGTTCTAATTAATATACATGATAAACAGTACTCCCTCCGTTCCTTATTATAAGAGACAAATAACCGAATTACGTTGATCAAAAAAGCAGTTAAAATTAGTTAAGAACAATCAATGTGTAAAAAATATAATTTTTCCCCAAAAATACCCTCATTAATAAGGAGAGAGAACAATTAAATTATTAAAAGAAAGAGAAGTGGGAAGAAGAGAGAGTGTGAGTTGAAGACAATAAATATGGGTAAAATAGGAAATCAACACAAAAAAGTAGAGACCACTTTTAAGTGTCTCTTATATATAGGAACATGCCATAAACATCAAATGTCTCTTATAATAAGGAACGGAGGGAGTAATATTTTAAGAAAAACAATACCTATTCATTATCAAAAACTGATTTAATTAATTTTTTTAATCTATTTAAATTAATTAACTAGCTCTTATATTAACACTGGAAGCAGTATTATTATGCAAGGGAATACCGTAATACATTTTTTCCCAAGAAAAAGTGTGATTAGATTATATTTTATTGATAAAAGATTTTTAATTTTTAAAAAAATGGTTCCATGTTCAAGAGCCAATCATTTGAATACTCTATATTCCGTTGTCGGTTAAGTTAAACATAAAATACAAAACCCGGCAAATTAATTACATTATTAATTTAATATTACCGGTCAACTGGCATAGCTCGTTTGAAGTGTGAAGTGGCAAATCCAAAAGCCAAAAGCAAAGTCATATCTTCCCCTGCTTCCTCTTCATTCTTCTCTTGAATCATTCCTTCTATCATTCCACAGATTCTTGGAATCCAAAATTCCAAATTAAGCTCTGGAGTTTCTGAACCTGTGAGTGCAGAAAGAAAGAATGTCCAAGAAGAAAGGCAACGGCCATACAATGACACTCAAGGACTTCCATGGCGGTTCTATTCCTCCTGATCTTCCTCTTCCTTCTGCTCCCGGCCTGTATGTCTCCTCTTTATTGCTGTTTCCCTTTTTCTCATTTAATCTCACTATTTTGGTCGCTTCTTCTACTTTTATGAATATTTCACTGTATGCTATGGTTCTGAAATACGGTTGGGTTCTGAGTTTAAGATAAACTAGATCTATATATCCAATTATTTGTGTTTTATCTTCACATTTGGACCCATCAACTATTTTTTTTCAAGATTCACGGATCTGTATATGAAAACGCGGGTAACATTTTGCCAAATTTGACACAGAACCGTCAAAACTTCAGATCGTTCTGGCTATGAGAGACCTTCGTCGCGGGGTAATCCCATTGATCGGTCCGATCATCGTTCCTTGCCGAACAACTCCTCACTATCTTGGCATTTCGATGACAAGACCCCATTTCTCACGCAAACTGGTCCAGTTGGTACTAATTTTGATGAGGACGAGCGTAAGCCGCTAGACGGCACTTCAGCTCCCCGTGGAACAATTAATGGTGAAGGTATTTGGGGCCCGCCGTCCCGCGTTGAGTTGAAGTCTGCGTCCGGACTTGGAGGGAATTCATTAGGTCCGAAGGCGGCTTCCGGGTCTCAGTATCATGTTGGGAAAAGAAATTCGTACTCAGCCACGCTGACTGAAGTAAGTCGTGTGGGGATGGATTCTCAGAATTTAAAAGGTAGTAGGGCGGAGGGAATCAATTTTGCTTCCCCAAACGTATGGACAATGAGGAAGGATGTGGCCAGTCTTGTTAAGTCAGATCAATCTGCTTGGTCCGGTTCTAATGCTTTTTCTAAGTTGGCTCATGCAAGCGCCATCGACAAGGTGTCTTCCGGTAGATGGCAATCAGAGAAAGTTCACTGTCAGATGAATTTTGAGATTAGTAAATCCTCTGAAGTAGAGAGCAGATCACTCAGTGTCAATGGAAATAGCACCCACAATAGGATAGACACGGTGGATGAGAAGAGATATTCTGATGTGATGAAGGCAAGGCAAGCTGAAAGATGTAGAAATGAGTTACTGGAGCACGAAAGATGTGAGATTTCAAAATATTCAGAAGTGCGATCAAGGCATCACCACACTAACGGGGCACAACCAGTTCTAAATGACGCCAAACTAAGTGGGCCTGAGTTGCAACATTCATTGGCATCTGAACCAAGAGAGCGGCCCCAATTGAATTCATCACGTAGGACAAAGCCACTGGATTCAGAACCTTCTGTTGCTGATAATAATGTACAGGTATCCACACCTTCAACTTATAAGACTACTTCAAATGAAATGCAACTTCATATTGATTTTATGGATTCTGTTATTATCTTCATGGCAGTTACATCGCCAAGGCAGTGATTCTAGCCATGTTGAAACTGTTAATAAGCCACATGATCATGCCAATATTGTGAATCCTGACTCAGCTAGAACTGAGAGCAGAGAGGAGGAAAGACAGCGGCCAAAGCTGAATGTGAAACTTTGGTCACAATCCCTTGAAAAATTGGAAGGAAACACTAGATCAGACAGGTTTGTTACTTGAGAAAATGAGCGGTAAAATTTTCACCTGTAAGTGAGTGCGTGTACACGTGCATGTGATTTAGGAACCACGTTTTCAGCATTTATCTGTGCGGAGCAACCTTTGGATGTGAAGAACATGTCTTTTTTCCCTTTTTACTTTGCGTATTGTTTAAAGTTTTATGAAAATTAAACCAAAAAAAAAAAAGATCATTTGTTTGATTCTGTTTTCTGATTATTAGTTCCGGGTCCCATTTCTTGCTTGTTTAGGGACCATGATGTGTCACATTTTAACCAAGAGAGAACTCGCATTATGGCAAAAGGATGGGGCATGATTTGTGTGTGTGTGTTTGTTCTTTGATAATTTTGAATTGAGATATGCAAGCGTGTACAAGTGTGCGCAATTTTATGTTGATTTGTGGGTAGACATAGTTCTGCCTCGTTTTAGTAATGTTTTATGCTCCAATATAATTTTTCAACCACATTGTTGATACATTTTGCATGCTTAAAATGAGAAATGGAGGTTTTTATGGTTTGTTTTGCATGACTATGAGACATCTGTTTTGACCATGAAAATAGAAATGTGGAGTACATTGTTGAACCATTGATGTGTTTCTTCTACGTTCGTATGGTAGCTAGAATGTATAATATCCATATAAGCTGGTTCACCCCAGTTGCCATGTTAGAGATTTTTTAATTTAGCAGATGAACTTAGGGTTCAATGGCTCCTTGACAGAGGATTCAAAGGTTGGAACTGTAGTGAGTGGGCATGAATTTTACTTATCAAATAAAACCGACTTACCTTGCAGTGTGGTATTTTAGCATTCTGCGCTCCATATTTGTCACCTTCTATTCCATCCTGTACCATTATATCTGCACCGCAGAATAATGTTAACTTTATTTGATTAGCAAAAATGTGTAACAAATGAGAAAGTCCTAGAGCTATTTATCAAGCCCTAGATACAAATAATAAGATGATGATGATGATGATGATTTTAAACCAATCTGAATCTAAATAAGATAAGATAAGCTGAAGTATAATTCAATATAAATTAAAGAAAATCTAACTTTTAAAATAGGTAACTAGAACATAAAATAAACTTAATTAAATTCTAAACTTTTCTGCGCCTAGCTTAAGTCCATTTTCTGGGTGGGTACACAAGTCTACAATTCTCCACCGGAAAGGCTTGTGCTTGTGTTTTTCTTGTTCAAAATCATATGCATACGAAGAAATCATTATGGTTGAACTTTGTAATGTCTTGGTAGTTATCTAATGCTTTCATTAATTTTTTTCTTTATTTGTTGTGCTACCTATTTCACACTTACGCACATAGTGGCATGTAGCATGTACTATTTTCTGCAAATTTGGTTAATTAAACATTCCAGTGCTTCATGCCTAATAACGAACGGACAATGCAAATGATTCAGGAATGCTTTATTTGGTGGTGCTCGTCCTCGAGAACTGGTGAGTTATCTTCTTCATGTCCTGAATGCCCGTTTTAAAGTTTATTTTTATTATATTCATACAGGTCACAGAAACTGTAGTCTTATATGCATAAATTACTCATCTCTTCAAAATGCTTCCCCCCCCCCCCCAAAAATTCATTCAGGTGGAACTTTTTTTTTGTTTTTTTTGTTTTTGCCCTCCAAATCAGTTATGTGCCTTTAACTTGTGCGATATGCTTTCAGCCACAGCAATCTGCACTGCTTTCTCCCCTTCTTGGCTTGGCTTTGTGTTTGTGGTTGGATAATGTTGCTGAACCTTTGCTCAGGTTTTAAAGGAGCGCGGGGTTGATGATGCTGCAATCAACAACTATTGTGAAGTTGAAGAGAAAAATAGGTAAATGACCTGTCTTGTTCGTGTGTTTTCCATTATCTCTACTTGGTCAAAGTAGATACAATTCTTACAAATGTCTGCCGTGAATGGGGTTGAATGTGATAGGGCCAAGAAGCTTTCTGATCGTTCAGTGCAGACCCATTATTTAGAAAAGACTGAGGATGCTCATCAACCGTATGCAAGAAAACCTGAAAGGAGCGATCGGTGGGTTGATGATGAGAGAAAGCAGAGGAGGAATTGGCACGGTGATAATCGGATAAGCATGACAGCGTCTGACAGGAAACCTTCACCTGAGATGTGGCAAAAGCCAGCTGAGCAGAAAAAATCTTCCGATGCTGTTGATCTACAGTGTGTTAAAGCTGCTTCAGCGGTCGAACTTGTTCAAGCTTTCTCTCGATCCACGTCAGATCCAAAAGTGAATGATAGATTACCAGGTCACAGGGGGGATACTGGGCGTGCACAGCAGCCATTTTCACGCCTTGTTGGTCCAGCCCCCAAGCCTTCTTCCAATGATTAGATATTTCATTTGGTACTTGTACATGCAAGTTGTGGCTTCTGGAGCACTTAATGGAGTGGTTGTGGGTTATTTCCTGCTCGTTACCTGAAGAGGAAAATTGAATATGGGCTGCTATTGAAAGCACCTAACGGAGTGGTTGTGGCTTATTCCCCCCAGCTTTTGTCTCCTTTCAGCTATCTTCTCCCACAACTCTGCCTGCAAAGCATGGCAGCTACCCAAGTTCTGATCTGCCGAGATAAACAATTCTCAGCTCTGGCTTTACTCATGTTCCAACTAAAGTTCCAAATCTTCGCACATCCCCAAGCCGTCACTGTTCACTGTAATTACCCTTACTCTTCTCCCAAACCAACTAGCCCTGTCATTACTCCGCACCCTTACAACATCATTTGTATAGATTTCGCATTTAATCATCGTCTTGCTACTTTATTAATGTTCTGCTCTTGCTCCCACAGGCAAAAGCAGTTGTTGAACTTGTATAGAATTAAAACATATAATTTAGCTTCTTCTTTCTTTTTGTTGAGAACCCACAGTATCTTGAGCTGTCCGGCTTCAGGAAACTACAAAATAAAAATGAAGTCCTCTCGCTCAAAATTGAGGGAGATAATTTAGCTTAGATATTTAGTTGAATCTCATGGACACACATGACTAAACCCAAGGAGTTCCTAAACTGTTGTTCTGGGCCTCAAGACCTATCTCTCTCGGATCAGGTCCCTTCAGTGAGTTTTGTCAACGCATCAATATTTACAAGGGAAAATTAGATTGGAAGTCTTATATATTCTAACTGATTTTAAATTAGATTTCTGTAGTTTTTTAATTAGGATTCTATAATTTCACTTGATTTTAATAGATTTTCTTTAATTTTTTTTAATCAAGTTTTTATAGTTTTATCTGATTTTTAATTAGCTCTGTGTAATTTCCGGTGAGAATAAACACATACTGACAACCATCACCCACACCTTGCGTTTGGTTTGGAATCGTGTCAAGTCCGAGTCATTGACTAAATTTTTTTCCCCCTTCAAATGGATGGCGGATGGAAGTTGGAAGATGTGAAAATAATATTGTATATTTTTTTACCTAATAAATTAAGAAAAAATAACATAAAAAGAAGTTAAAAATTGCTATATTCTAATTTAGGAACCCAAAAATTCAAAATCCCATATGAGAAAGTGATAAATATAATTAAATGATAAAAATGCCCTTATATCATAAAATTTATTAATAAGTTGTAAATTGGTAAAGACATGTGTTGAACAGTAAATGGAAAGAAATGTATTGGCAATAACAAGTTATTTATTGATAAATTGAAAACTAGCAATAACACATCTTAAACAACTAATTACAATAAATGTACTGGTAATAACAAATTTGATAGCTTTTTTTTTAAAAAAAATGATACAAAGGCATTTTAGTCATTTAATTATATTTGTAAAACATCAAAATAGGCACCACTTTCTCCTCTGAAATTTTGAACTCCTAAGTACCCGAATTAAAATATTACAATTTTTAACCTTTTTTTAATTTATATATCAATATATTTGTATCAATTTTGGGCATTTTATCCACGCATTGCACAAAATAGGCTAGTCTCTAACAATATAACGAATTAAGATTTAAATTCTTGCTAAGTATCTATATTTAGTGGGATTATCTCAAATAGAAGAATACGTGTGCTTAACAAAATACTACCTCTAGTCTTAATTATAAGAGCTAGTTTTAATTTGAGGAAATTAAGGAGGTAAGTTAAGTTAGTTATTTGTCCTAAATAGGTATTGTATTTCCTAAAATATCCTTACTAATCAAGTGTATTGACTAGAACTATCATTGTTAGAAAGACTATTTTGGAAAAAAAAAATATAAATATAAAAGACAAAGTGGATTGGGGTCTTATATTTAGGACCAAAATAAAAGTCAAACAGAGTCTTATATTAAGGACCGGAGGTAGTATAAACTTAACTCATAAGATTTAATATAGACTTTATTTTATATGAATCCCGGTTTGGTTTATTGATAGTTATCAAATTAAGTTATAGAATGCATAGATCATGCCGCTTCTCATTTCTAATTTGGGAAGCACATCTCTGGCCAAAAAAACAAAGGGGAAAAAAAAAGGACGTGCATCCTTCGATTTTCTTTTTTCTCTTCTTCTCCTTTAAATGCCATTTTCACTCTTATGTTCTGCTTGGATGGAAAGAAAAGTTGGAAGGAAATAAAATAGGAGGAGAGAAAATCAAGAGTAAGGGTGAGCATTCAGTTCAGTTATCGGTAATAATTGAAATAACCAAATAATCGAATAGAGTAAATTTCAAATACCGAATCAAAACTGATTAACCAAACTAACTGAAACCAAATTAATCGAAATATTTCGGTTCAGTTAACTGATTAACCAAAATATATAAATATGAAAAGTGATTTTAAATTAAAAATAATAATAATAAAACACAATTATAACCATTAATTAATAAATATTTCATCATTCAATGTGATTTATTATAATAATATTTATTATAACTATATTTATTGAATATAAATATATTTAAAGAGTTCACATAAACCCACATATATATTTATTATAATAATATTTATTAAATATAAATATATAATATATTTATTTTGGTTTTTCGGTTATAACCGAAATTTTTTTTACTAACCGAACCGAACACCAAAATCGAATTGTTAAAAAAATAAAAACTAAATATGTAATTGAAAACCAAAATTGAATTATGTTCGATTTGGTTTTCGGTTATGGTTCGGTTTTGTTCACTCCTAATTGAGAGAAGAAAAAACTGGAGGTAAGAGGTCATCATCCCATGATTTATCTGCACATACCAACTCCTATGAATAAGTAATCTAGTCTCCTCAATGATATCTATAAAAAGTTGAAGAGAGTCACAACCCCTCGGAATTAGGTTCACCGCCTCAATAGAATCAGTCAATATATTAACATTTTCCACACCCCTAGACCAGCATATATGTAAACCATTTAGAATGGCCAAAAGTTTAGCAATGGTTCGGGCTACGTTCATCAGTTTGCTACTAAACCCAACGATTCATATGCCTTGATAGTCACATATGTAACCGCCACGCCCATTATTTCCATTCCGCAGCACTGACTAATCCACTACCAACGTGAAGTGCCCCTCTTGCCGTTGATGATTCTGTAGTTCCTGTCTTCTCCTAGAAGGCCCTGCTCTGGGCAAGCTCGAAAAAAGCTATCATGTGTCTTCTGAGGGGCCAATGATTCGGCATTACCAAACAGTTTGTAACATCTGGAGACCCAAATGTCCCAACAAAGAAGCAGGCTTTAGACTTGAGAAAATGAATACTTATTAATTAAACCAGAATACTTTGAGAAAAAAATAACAAACTTAATTTTTGGGCAAAATAAAGGGAAAAAAAAAACTAGATACAACCATATTTGAGAAAATATTAAGGTAATAAGATCTCCGTCTTTTTTAATGCCTTGGGGGATTTACAATTGTAATATTATTTTCGAAGACAATAAAAATTATTTATATTATAATATTGTGATTATTTTAGAGATAAAAATTATTATAAAAATTTAAAGTATTAATTTTAATTTTTTCAATTATTTTTTTCAAAAAAAAAAAACAAAGAAAGATGACGACGTGGGGAAGAAAGATAACTTTTCTTTTCTTTTTTTTTGGGGGGAACAATGAAGCAAGATAACTTCAGATTTGACATTCGGGCAACTCAAATTTAGGGATAAACTCTTACATTGTTTTTTGAGCTTTTTAATTTTAACATTATTTTATTCTTTTTAATGCTCCTTTCTTATTATTACATCAAAAACTAGGTCTTATATTTAAGACAAAAAAAAACTTATATTTATATCATTATACAAGAATATAATATTATTTTTATTTAATTATTATATTATAAATTCAACCTAATCAATCGTTAAACCGTAACCTCCTTGTTAACATTAATAGCATGACTTTTAAAAATCTTACCAAATATGATAAACACAAGGAATAAACCATACACGCGCCTTCTTAGAAGCCAAAGCAATAAATATTGGGAAAATCACAAAAAAAGGACCCTCGAAATAAATAAAAAAAACAAAATTACACATAAGGATCTATTTATAAAAATTGTTATCAAAACCCATACTATTGTTATCAAAACTCATACTAATATTACCATCAGTCCCTATTTACAATTTTTTTTATTTCAGCGTTTTTTTTATAATGATTTTCCCATAAGCATCCGAGGGAGCACAGCGTATGAGATACAGCTTTCGAAGTTCATGCTGTGTTTTCTTCGGTGGCTTTCAATTTCCATTCGCCTACACCTTCTACATTTTTCCAGATACAACAGCTGGCATATGTCCTCCTCAAAAAGTAAAACATCTCTCACACACACACACGCACACTTGAACGAAATTCGAGATAAGTTATAACTTTTTATTACTTATTTTCAATATAAAAATTAATTAACTAATTTAAATAGATTAAAAAAATTAGTTTAATTCATTATTTATAATAAATGAATATTATTTTTTTAAAATACTCTTATTAATTATGTGTATATTAACTAGAATTATTATTTAATGAAACTTTTAATATATGTAACTAACTATTATAAGAAAATAGACAAATATACATAATAAAAAAAATAGACAAATATAAAAAACAAAATAGATTAAGATTTTATATTTATAATTAAATTAAATGTTTAACTAACCCATACAGAATGAGAGCTAATATATCCCTGCTAAGAACGTAAGTGCACAGACGGTACCCCACGAATTTAAGAAACATCAGACAACTAGTCTTAGTTTTCGACCCGTAAAGGGTAATGTTAGGTTCATGGTTGGAGAGCATTGAGGTTATATTTTGAGAAATCTTAAAAAGAGTTATTTCGCCACCAAGACACAATAGAATATGACATCCCTAAGATTAAATAAGTCCATCCTGCAAAACGTACGTAAGGTCACATAATCCTTAAATATTTAAGGATCAGAAGCAGTACTGCACACTTAATGTTAGAGTTTAATTACTCCTCCGATCCTTTATATAAGATCTATTTAACTAATTTGATTAGATTAAGAAAGTTAGGTAAGTTAGTTAATTCTAAGAAAAGTGACACATTTTTCCTAAAACACCATAAGCATCTTCCTTAATACCCCATCTCCCTCTTCTACTTGATTATGGTTGAGAGAGTATCTACAAGGGTAATTTAGAGAAAGTTGATAAATATGAGAAATGGGTCTTATATTTAGGACCAAAACCAACTCAAGAATTGGGTTCTATATTAAGGACCGGAGGAGTATCATTAACTTGAGTTATTATCCCT